CATTCTGTGAGCCCTATGACTATGAGGCCAAAAACCAGATTCGTGGCCCATATCCATCGTTTAAAACCTGTGGTCAGGAAGAAAACCTGAGATCTCATCAACCATTACCTTTCGTCCACGTCACATCAAACACCATTGCTCTCTATACATCTCGCCACACAGGATTCTCGCCTTCCAGATAATCTTCTTACAAAACCGAACTCCGGCGTAATCAACGGTGCAGATAACTCTCTTTCTTCGATCTAACGGTTCACATTCGTAGTCGTTGTTCCCAGTAAACCTCGCGTTCTGTAGTGTGACCCAAAAAGAAGATTAGATAAACCCAAAAATGTGTTTCAATGTCTTCCTTTGATTTCCTCAATTTCTAGGGTTTCGAAAGAAAAATAATGACTTCAATCGAATTGCTATGTCCATTGATTCACGATAAGTTTCGATTCTCAGCTTGTTGTAGTACTAGTAGTTTATTGTATTTGCATGCTTCTAGCTTTTTCCGAGATCGGTCTTTTGGTTTTCGTCAGAATCCGAATCGATTTGTCTCCAATTCAATTCAACTTCCTCAATCAGTTACAGGGTCGATAAACCATGAAAGGTTCAATCTTTGGCAAGGGTTTTCGAGGAAGAAGAGTACTAGTAGTAGAACGATTGTGAATTGTCAAGAAGGTGATCAGAAAGCTAGCTCAAGTGAAGGAGAAGGAAAGACGAATTCGAATTCGTCGAAGCAGAAAGGAGGGAAGCAAGGTAAGAATGGGTTATGGTGGTCTAAAGGGAAGAAATGGCAGTGGGAACCGATTATTCAAGCGCAGGAGATTGGTGTTTTATTACTACAATTGGGTATTGTTATGTTTGTGGTGCGATTGCTTCGACCTGGAATCCCGTTACCGGGTTCGGAGCCTCGCACACAGACGACGTTTATGAGTGTACCGTATAGTGATTTCTTGAGTAAAGTTAACAATGATGAGGTTCAGAAAGTGGAGGTAGATGGTGTTCATGTTTTGTTTAAGTTGAAAGATGATGGGAATTTGCAAGAGAGTGAAACTAGTGGTAGTAAGCTTTCTGAGTCGTCTGAGACTATGCTTAGAAGTGTGGCTCCGACTAAAAGGGTTGTATATTCCACCACAAGGCCGAGGGATATTAAAACGCCGTACGAGAAAATGCTTGAGAATAATGTGGAATTCGGGTCGCCTGATAAGCGCTCTGGTGGCTTTTTCAACTCTGGATTGGTAAGACCGTGAATTAGAATGGCTTGTTGGCTTTGGGAAACACTAAAAGTGAAAAGGTTTCTTGTTTTCTTGTTTTTGTTGTTTCAGATAGTTCTATTCTACATTGCAGTGCTTGCAGGGCTTCTCCACCGATTTCCTGTTAACTTTTCCCAGGTTTGCACATTCATGATACCGTAATGTGGTTGTTTAAGTTAAGGCCATGTGCACTTTTCTTAAAAGCTATGAGGTATACACAGAGTACAACGGGACAACTGAGGACACGCAAGTCTGGTGGTCCTGGTGGGGGGAAAGTTTCTGGTGAAGGTGAAACAATCACTTTTGCAGATGTTGCTGGTGTTGATGAAGCAAAGGAAGAGCTGGAAGAGATTGTGGTAGGTTCATCTGTCCTTATAGATGCTGTAGTCATATTTGTTCTTGATCTTGTTAATTTCTCTAACACTTGGCTTAACTGTTGCAGGAATTTCTCAAGAATCCTGATAGGTATGTCCGTCTAGGTGCTCGTCCCCCTCGTGGTGTTTTATTGGTGAGTTAAATAATGTGGTTACCACTTTGGTCATTTCTTAGATAGAGTTTATGCGCAATGTTTGGTTACTGTGTTTAAAATTTATGGCTTTATTTCCCTTTTTGGTAGGTTGGTCTCCCGGGAACAGGGAAAACCCTTCTTGCAAAAGCTGTTGCTGGGGAATCTGATGTCCCCTTCATAAGTTGCTCTGCAAGTGAGTTTGTAGAGCTGTATGTTGGCATGGGTGCTTCACGCGTAAGGGATCTTTTTGCACGGGCCAAGAAGGAGGCTCCGTCAATTATATTTATAGATGAGGTGTGAATACAAAATCAGTGTTTGATTACCTGCTGTACTTTGTATCGATGTTAATCTTAACAAATGTATCTGTTTTTCTTTCATTTTTCAGATAGATGCTGTCGCGAAAAGCCGTGATGGTAAATTCAGAATGGTCAGCAATGATGAAAGAGAGCAAACTTTGAATCAGTTGCTCACTGTAAGTTTGTAATCATATGCACTTTTTCTGCCAGAGTTGTTTTCTAGATCTTTGCATAATCCATTTATAAGCTGGGAACTGGTTTACAGGAGATGGATGGTTTTGACAGTAGCTCAGCAGTTATTGTTCTTGGAGCTACCAATCGAGCTGATGTCTTAGACCCCGCCCTGCGTCGGCCTGGGAGATTTGATCGTGTTGTTACGGTTAGTAGAATATCTGGCTCTGCTTATTTTAAATGATCATGCAATGTAATACTTTATCAAAGCTATCTGACACTTAATTTCAGGTGGAATCACCTGACAAAGTTGGAAGAGAATCCATATTGAAAGTGCATGTTTCAAAGAAAGAGCTTCCTTTGGGAAATGATGTCAACCTAGCTAGTAGTGCCTCAATGACAACCGGTTTTACTGGGTAAAAATTTGTATTTTATTCATGACCCGAAAGTGTCTTACCTGCTTTTTGCTGTATAATCTCGTTAACTTTCATGTTTGGTTTTTATAGGGCAGACCTTGCGAACCTAGTTAATGAGGCTGCTTTACTAGCGGGAAGGAAGAGCAAGATGACTGTTGAAAAAATTGACTTCATTCAGGCTGTCGAGCGATCTATAGCGGTATTGTCTTTTTCTTTCTGAGTCTATTGAACAGCTCATCACAATATGTTTCCTTACATTGCATCGTTTGTTTCAGGGCATAGAGAAGAAAACTGCAAGGTTAAAAGGTAGTGAGAAAGCTGTGGTTGCAAGGCATGAAGCTGGGCATGCTGTTGTTGGTACAGCTGTTGGAAGTCCTTCTTCCTGAACAGTCCCGTGTTGAGGTAAAACAATGAGAGCTGCCTCTTGGATAGGCCGAATACACATTTTTACATGCGTTAATGCTCTGCGAAGTCGTGTTGTATTTTTAGAAATTAAGCATATTGCCAAGATCAGGAGGGGCATTGGCCATTGGGCTTTACATACATTCCTCCAACACATGAAGACAGATATTTGCTTTTCATTGATGAACTACATGGCCTCTTGGTAACACTTCTTGGAGGTCGTGCAGCTGAAGAGGTTGTTTACTCGGGGCGTATATCAACAGGTGCACTTGATGATATCAGGAGAGCAACCGACATGGCTTATAAGGCAGTAGCTGAATATGGTCTTAACCAGAAAATCGGACCCGTCTCTGTGGCTACGCTTTCTGCTGGTGGGATTGATGACTCTGGGGGATCACCATGGGGAAGAGATCAGGTAACTTTATTCTGCCTAAACTTTTAGTTGGTCTTGTTCAAAATGGAAAGCAAACTTAATCTGTCATGCTGAATTCACAGGGGCATCTAGTTGATCTTGTTCAAAGAGAGGTGACAAATTTGTTGCAATCTGCTCTGGATGTTGCGTTGACTGTTGTTCGCGCTAATCCAGATGTATTAGAAGGGCTCGGTGCTCAACTGGAAGGTAACACATTACACATCTGGATACTGATACCATATTTACTCAAACAAAACATAAGACCAGTTTTCTAAACAACAGCTAGTTTTGGCTTATAATCTCTGAGATGGGCTGGTTCATTCAAATGGTATCACCACAACATGGCATGATATGGTCACTAGAATCACATGTTGATGGCCTTGTCTCATAATCTATATAGCTCCTCAAGTAGTTGACTCTGTTTGAAAACATGTGATTGGTTTCAGATGAAGAGAAAGTAGAAGATGAAGAGTTGCAGAAATGGTTAAATAGAGTAGTGCCCTCAGAGGAACTTGCAGTGTTCATCAACGGAAAACGAGCTGCTTTGCTTCCAGCACAAGCTAGCTCCAGTTAACGTCTACAGAATCAAAAAGCTAAAAGGATCTATCTACTTTTCTGGTGAGTCCTGGCCATCGATGACTTAGTATGTATAGAAAAAAAAAGCTTTTACTTGGTATCAAACAGAGCATGTGTTGTTGACTTAGTCCCGGCAACGGAGTTAATTATTTGATTGACAAAAAAAAAAAAAAACAGAGCATGTGTTGTTGTATTTGCTACCTTTTTTTCCGCAATGTTATTGGCAATTGTATTATTGTTCCACTTGTATACATATATACAGAGACCATTTATGTTAATAATATACAACTTTCCTATGGAAAGATGGAATCCATCAAGTCCAAAAAATGCCAAAACCATGAAAGATCTTGTCTGATCAAGTATGTTACATTAAACTTTTCATATATTTATTATCAATGTACGAAGAATTAATAATTAGACTAGAAATGCAGATCACATAGATTACACAATTTTGATCTCATTTCTTGTCAAAGAGGCTCAGGCCACCGAAGCCACCGGAGTATTTAATTTTGTTGTCAAAGAAATTTTTTTTATTAGATTCCACATAATTTATGTTTGAAGAAGCTTTCTATTACTACTA